CCCCTGCTCTAAACAGAGATTGAATGTCTAGCTAAGGAGCTAAGATTTCTTCACTCTGGTCCGCTATGTCTAATGGATCTTACCTACATCTATAAAAATAGTAGCAGCAGAGACTAGGTGGGCCCTAGACTTGTTCACCAAGGAGTCCTAGCGTGGCACTGTGGGTTAATGTGCCAGACTGCAAATCCATTTGAACTGTAAGGTCGGCGGTTCAAGCTCACCAGCTGTTTCTTGGAAACCCTCTACAGGGTTGCTATGTGTCGGAATCCACTCAACAACACTTAACAGCAAGACTTGTTCATCAGAAGTGTGCTTTGGTCACTTAAAGGAGTGTTGTTTCTCCGTTAGTTATAGTTCTCAAAGTCTGTGTCAAGAGGGAGTCTCTGAGTAGCACAAATGGTTAAATACACGGCTGTTACGAATCGGGCTGTGAGCCTTAAGGTCAGCAGTTCGAAACTACCAGTCACTCCGCGGGAGAAAGATGAGGCTTTCTGTTCCCATAAGTCTTTATAGCCTCAGAAACCCTGAACAGGGTCTCTGTGGGTCAGAACCGACTCGACAGCACTGAACAACAACAACAATTAGCCAAAAGCTGGGTGGTTTGTATCTATCCGGAGCCTTCTCAGAAGATAGGCTTGATGATCTCCTTCCAGAAACCACAGTCGTTAAGAGTCATAGGAAGCACTCGCTACTGTGAAACACAGAGGGTCTCCACGAGTCAGAATTGAATTGACAGTAACTGGTTTGGCTCATGCCAAGATGTGAACCAAGTTGAAAACCTCCTTAAGTAAGAGAAAGGTGTAAAGTTTAAGTAGGCAGCTTAAGACTTTGGAGGTTAAAGTCAGAGAAGACCATGACACACACACAGCCCATTTTTTGTGCCCATTCTCCTGTGTTAGAGACTGATCTTAGGCCAGAATAAGGGTGACTGGCTGCTGTCTGACCTTATGTGCATTTTCACTTATTTTTGCACTGATACTCCTTTATCCTGATGACATGGAGCTTTTCCATCGTCTCTTTCCACAGATGTAGTCAATTTGATTTCAGTGTTTTGCATCTGGTGAGATCCATGTGTATAAAGAAGGTATTTGAAATGAACAAATCATTGATTTTGCAGAACTCTATTATGCATTTTCCAGCATCGCTTTTATCACCAAAGCCATATTTTACAACTACTGATCCTTCCTCTTTGCTCCCAACCTTTGCATTCTAATAATCACCAGTAATGATCAATTCATCCTAATTGCATGTTTGATCAATTTCAGATTGAAGAAGTTGGTAGAATTCTTCTATTTCATCCTCACTGGCTTTAGTGGTTGGTGTGTAAATTTGAATAATAGTGGTATTAACTGGGCTTTCCATCCAGGCACATGGATATTATCCTATCACAGACAGCGTCATACCTCATGACTGATCTGGCTATGTTCATTTTGACAATGAATGCATCACCATTCCTCTTCAATTTGTCAATGTGTGCAACAAGGTTGCATTCTTTCACCATACTTATTCAACCTGTATGCTGAGCAAATACTCTGAGAAGCTGGGTTCTGTGAAGAAAAACATAGCATCGGGATTGGAGGAAGACTCATTAACAACCTGCTATATGCAGATGATCGAAACTACCAGCTGCTCCGCGGGAGAAAGATGAGGCTTTCTACTCCCATAAAGATTTACACCCTCAGAAACCCTGTACAGGGTCGCTATGAGTCGGTTCCAACTCCACGGCACATAACAACAACATAGGCAGATGATACAACCTTGCTTGCTGAAAGTGAAGAGGACTTAAAATATTTATTGATGAAGATCAAAGCCTTTGGTATGGATTACATCTCAATGTCAAGAAAATAAAAATCCTCACCACTGGACCAATAAACAACATTCTTATCAATAGAGAAAAGATTGAAGTTGTCAAGGACTTCATTCTTCTTGGATCAACTATCAACACTCATTGAAGCAGAAGTCAAGAAATCAAACAATGTATTGCATTAGGCAAATCTGTTGCACAAGACCTTTTTAAAGTGTTAAAGAGCAAAGATGTCAGCTTGAGGACTAAGGTGTGCCTGACCTAAGCCGTGGTATTTTCAATAACCTCATATGCATGCGAAAGCTGGGCAATGAATAAAGAAGACCATAGAAGAATTGATGCTGTTGAGTTATAGTGTTGGAAGAGAATATTGAAAGTGCCATGGGCTGCCCAAAGAACCAATAGATCTGTTTTGGAAGAAGTGTAGCCAGAGTGCTCCTTGGAGGCCAAGATGGCCAAACTTCATCTCTCATACTTCAGACATATTGTCAGGAGGGACCAGTCTCTGGAGAAGGATATCATGTTTGGTAAGGTGAAGGGTCTGAGAAAAAGAGGAAGACCCCTAACGAGATGGATTTGCCAAGTGGCAGCATCGATGGACTCAAGCGTGGCAACAGTAGTGAGGCTGGCCCAGGATCGGGCAGTGTTTCATTCTGCTGTGCATAAGGTTGCTATGAGCGGGTACCCAATTGATGGCACCTAACAACAACAACAACAACAACAACTCCTTTATCAGTGGCAGGCCAGCTCCAGAGAGGGAACGAATGAAGGGAGGAGCAGTGCAAAGAACATAAACCATAGCTCCAACGGGTTGCTATGTTTTCCACCTACTCCTAAGTTCTTTCATTTTTATATCCAGGAATTGCTTTTAAAAAGAAGACTGCCCCTTCTTTTCCCATGAGGTAGCACTGCTGTTTATGGTGCCACCTCATCCTATTGAATCACTGATGGTCCATCATCCCCTTTGCAAGTGAGGAAAACTCAAGTTCATCCACCCGACCAAGTAATAACAAAATCAGGTTAGAATCCTGTTTTGGGATTTCAAGTCTGATGCTCATATTTTCAGAGCCTTTCCATGTCAAGAAATCCCACAAGCTTTAGTCATTCCTCACACATGAATCTACAAATATCTCTCTGTCGTGTGCTCCAAACAGCAAGCCTTTTGGCCCATTTCCCTGCTTCCTCTTTTTCTTTTTCTATTGCACATCACTCAGAAATGGGGATGTTCCCAGGAACTGGCCCTGTGGTTAATAGGGAGCCACAGCATTTTATATACACCAAAAGTAGGTTTCTCAATTTCAAATCATTGGAATATGGTGCAACCAACTTAACAGCGCACAGGATTTAATCTATTTTTAATGGGTCAGAAGACATTGTAAGATCTTGTAGAGCCTTTGATTCATCATTGGAACCCACTGCCGTTGAGTGGTTTCCAACTCACAGCAACTCTACAGAACAAAGTAGAACTGCCCCATAGGGTTTCTAAGACTGTAAATCTTTCAAATGCAGACTGCCACATCTTTCTCCCACAAAGCAGGTATTGGGTTCAACCACGGACCTTTCAGTTAACAGCTGAGTGCTTAACTTCTGTGCCACCAGGGATCCTCATCTTGACAAACATTAATTACCATGGATATGTGGAAGTACCATGTTTAAAGAGTTCTAGTCAGTATGACAACATTAGAGAGTAGAGAGCTTATTAAAAATAAGAAATTATAGACAAAAATTCTCTAAGAGACAGAGAATTGTCTACTCATTTACTAAAGGGTCACCGTAATTCAGTGACTTTGTTGTTGAATGTGCAGATTCAAAAACCATTGAGGCTTAATTTGAACCTTAATTTTCACGTGTTGTTGTTGAGTGCCATCCAGTCAGTTCTGACTCATAGCAACCCTTCAAGTTAAAATAGGTATACCAGCCAGATGGACTTTGGGCATTTATTTGACATGGTAAGATAAAGAAGCTAAAGAATTGGCAAAGCTATAACTGCTTGCTAGCTTCTGTAATTCCACAATACTCCATTTAGTAAAACACTTAGTTACAGTGAATAACTATTTGCTATCAAATTGTGATTAAAAGACCTAATTAAATATTTCACAAAGTAAAAATAACTGCCAGCTTAGAAGCGAACATTGCCATACTTACTCACTTAATAGCTGTGTGTTCTGGGCTCTTTATTCACCCTCAAAAGAAACACACTTACACCCAGTTTACAAGGGAAGAGGCAGAAAGCCTGGGGCACAGGCTCCTGGCTAACCTGCCACAACCGGTGGAGAGGTAAATCAGGGGTTGATCCACTGAATACATCTGCTGCTTCTGGTCAGTAAGTACAACTGGTCATGGGGGACTTGCTTCAGAGCCAGAGCACCCAGTGACAGGGAGCTGTTGGGCCCCATGTTGGTGGTGGTGGTGGTAAGTGCCATTGAGTCAGTTCTAATTCATAGCGATCTTGTGTAGGGTTTCCAAGGAGCAGCTGGTGGGTTTGAACTGCTGTCCAGGACTCCATGTAATGACCTGAAGTCAGACTCAACACATGTCTTCTATGGACCACTCGCTGTAGCCCAGGAGTAAGAACCCAACCGTCAGGGAGCTTATGTGCCCAGTCAGCATGAGGTCCCTGGTAATTCTGCTTCTAAGGCAAACCACGCTGCATAAATTCCCTTGGTTCAGTCTGGTTCACAGACTGAGTCTGGTCTCTTAGGAATGCCCTTTGTTGTTAAGTGTCATGGAGTTGGTTCAGACTCATAGTGACCATGTTTCCTAGAATCCACCAACCTTGTGGATAGTAGTCTAGCATTTATCCTACAGTGCCACACCAGGATTCCTTAGGGGCTCCAAAGACCCATAGTTCAGCAACGTCTACTGTCTCCTGTTCCTGCTACCCACTCCCCAGCACATCTAAGGAGTCTTTGTGCTCCTCTCAAGACCCAAGGAGAATGGAGCTGGAGGGAGGGGTCATTGTAGTGATAGGAAATGGGCCTCAGGCACTTTGCAAAAGCTTTGTTTTGTTGACTAAAATTCTCAGAAAGGGTGGCTATCTCCTCCATTCTTTCTGGAGACTCCATCAAAGCCAGTCCTGTCTTGGCAACAGCAGATTCTCAAGTCAGATTGTATCTTCCCAGCCACCATTTTAAGCCTGCCTTTATAAATCCTCCGTATGAAGCTTCTCTAAATTGGGGGATTATCTGTTCTACAGGAAGCTGTGGGAGACCACATCCCTGTTCTTCTGCTGGGCAATAAAATTGACAACGAGAAGGAAAGAGAAGTACCCCGTGGCCTCGGAGAGCAACTTGCCAAGGTAAAGTGAAAGCATTTTTGTCTCTCTGGGTAGGGTGGGACTCTCTTGAGTTCCTTGGTGGAGGGCCTTGGTGGCAACCTTCTCTGGAAGACCCATGGGAAGGAAGAAGTTGGGCAGGAAGCGTGCCCTTTTTTCATCAAGGGATGCTCGGCTCCTGCAAAGTTAGAACTTTCTATAGCGAGCTCTGATAGCATACTGGTTACAAATCAGGCTGCGAACCACAAGGTCAGCAGTTCGAAACTACCAACTGCTCTACAGGAGAAAGATGAGGCTTTCTGCTCCTATAAAGATTTACAGCCTCAGAAACCCAGTTCAGGGTCGCTATGGGTCGGAACCGACTCGATGGCACTTAACAACAACAACATAGAATGCCACAGATTGCAAGCTAGAGTTGCTTCAGACCCACTAGGGCTTGGAGAATTGCCCCAAACTTTCTTTCTTATTACACAGAATTATAAATTATGAGATATAAGTGGTTACTTAATTCAATCCCCCATCTGATACTAGAATAACATTATCTGTGTTTCTACTTGATCCCCTTCAGAAATGAAAAACTCAGTATGTTGAAGGCAGTTTGTTCTTTTTTGGACAGCTTTATTAGTGAGTTAATCCTTTCCATCAAGATTCATTCTCAAGAATATGAACTCAAGATAAACTGAGGGGATCACATAAGCACCAGCCCCACTGCTCGAGAATGGAACCCAGTAGTGCCTAATGTAAACCCCATAGGAAGTGCTCATTCCTTGGCTCTTCTGTTGACTTGGAGCTTGATTTTCATAGAACCAAGGAGGATGGGGATGCCTGTTAGTTCTGTGATGCTATAATTCTAGGCTACTTGCTGTAACCAGGGACTCATGACCTCAGAACCTGGGAAATTGAGTACAGATGGTAAGAATCAAGGAAGAAAGCTTGGCAGGTGTTCATGTAGAGGGTCGCTAGGCAATTTCATGTCCTCAATCCCTCATCCACAATTTCCAAATTCAAAAAGCTCTGAAAACAGAAAAGATTTTTTTTGCATTTCAACCGGCAAAAAAAAAACCCCACCAGAACAGAAGTGAGACTATTTATGGACTTTATTTATCTCGCTTTATGTGAACAGTCATATGTTAGATTTCAGAGTGCTGCCCCAGATTCAGAGGGTTTTGGGTAATATACAGTATAAAACAACTTACCATCAAATCTGCTCTGAGTAATGCCAACCCTGTGTGTGTCAGAACAGAACTGGGCTCCACAAGGTTTTCAGTGACTGATCTTTTGGACATAGATCACCAGGTCTGTTTTTCACATGTGGCTCTAGGTGGACTCCCATCTTTAATCTCCAGTTAACCAAACACACGAACCCTTTGTACCAGCCAGGGACTCCCATGTACACTATAGACATGCATTACCTTTCTTAATTCCAAAACGTAACACGTTTTGCAAAATACATCTGACCCCAAGGATTTGGGGTAAAGAACTGTATACCTGTATTACTACTAGTCCATTTCCTTTGGTCAGTGGGGAAAAAAAAAAAGCGAAGTTCAGAAAAGTTAGTGATTTATCCCGATTATTATCCCGATTATCACAGAATTTATCATGACGGTGGTCTACAGTAGTAGGTTAGAAGACATATTTTGTCTTCCTATGCTAGTGTCGTGGAGTCCTGGTGTGGTGGTGTCGGATGAGCACTAGATCACAAGGTCTATTTGAACTTCAAGGGTTCATATCTACAAGCCACTCCATAGAAACCCTATGCAGGGGAGTTAGGAGTCAGAACCGGCCTGGCGGCCCTTAACAATAACAACACTTGGTCGTCTGTACTTTCCACCTCACCACCTCCTCTCTCTGACAGACTGACCCATAACCAGGTTCTGAAAGAAGGGGGCAGAGAGAAGATGAAGGATGTAGGGTTGAATGAAGAAGGCAGAGGCTGGAGTTGGCCCATTTGGTGTGGAATTCGGAGCCAACGTTTGCAGAGCCTTTTGTTCTGCAGCTGCCGGGGAAGTGTCTTCAGCACAGAGCATCAGCTTCCAAGAAGAGACTGCCTCAAAACCAGGCCCGTGCACCCTTAGCATTATCATATGAAGTGGGAAGTCTATTAATGGGAATGGTAAAAGGGATAGGATACGCCTTGACCAAGGCTTCCCACATGGACATAGAACCGCTCTAGTCTAATGAAGTGATGGACACTTTTCCTGAGGTGCCAGTGCTGACAACCTGGGCAGGTGAAGTGCTAATGGACAGGTGAGATGAGAATTCTTTGGGGAGGGCCTCAGTGACTTCTGCCCCAAGATCCATGGGTGCCAGCATCCTGGGAAAGACATGCTGCTGGGAGGCCAGCCATTAAAGGAGTAGGTGGTCTGCACAGGGCAGCCATGCATCCTCTCTAAATCCATTTCCTGACTGTGAAAGCGAAAGAACGTTACCCGCCCTGGTCTGTGTGTCCTGCCGGCATCCCTGGGCTGGTGTGACAGAGAATCTGTGATGTTCATTCCTGAGAGCAATCTGAGAAAGTAAAGCTCTAAGGCAGCTTACGGCTTCATTGTTCTACAACAGTTAGAGCTCACCTGGGAGATGGTTACAGAACTCTCATTAGTCAGGGAGTCTAAGGAGACAGAAACCAAGTGTGGACAGAGTTGGGGGGTGGGGTGTTGACAAATTAAGGGAACTGTGAAAATGTGAGAGGTAGTGGGACTGTAAGTAGATGCTTACAGGGTGCCCCTCCTGCCCACAGCTCTCTCTAGTCTTCCCCAATATTCTCCTTGTATCCCCTCTATCTCTGATTCTAGGAGAACAGGCTGATCTTCTACGAATGCAGTGCCTATTCCGGTCACAATGCCCAAGAGTCCCTGCTCCATCTAGCCAGGTAAGAGAGGTGCAGCTCACAGGTGCAGTGAACTGCCAAATCCAGCTGTGCTAGGTCTGGTGGGAGGCACTGCCTTCAACTCTGCCTGGGACCTTCCTTTCCTGTCACCTACGTAGAGCGGATGGTGGACCAGGCCTTTGGGTGGGATTTCCGGGGTTATGGACAGCCTTCTGAAATATAGTAATGATGAAGAAGAATAACGTCTCCGTGCCTGTAACCTTCTTCCAAGCCTTAAAGACTTTCTTTATCCCAGTAAAGACTTTCTTTATCCCAGGGGCCCTCTTTCTAAACTTGCTTGCTCCTAGGAAAGGTCGTATCAGATTGGTAGGTTCCTCTTCACTGGCAAATACCATAGTTGGGATTACTTGTCAGCCAGCTGGGAGCAAGAATAGGTTGTACTATGGGTTCCTGGGGGAACAGAAACACTCAAGGCAATGATTTTCATGTGTTGCTAAAAGGGCTGTACCTAAATGGAAATATTGTTTATTAAGCCCCTTAATGACAAAAAGTCATTAAGAAGACAAGAAAGAAGGAAAAGGTCAAAATGGATGTCAGAAGAGACTCTGAAACTTGTTCTCCAGTGTAGAGATGCTAAAGCAAATGGAAGAAATGAGGAGGTGCAAGAGCTGAAAATTTCAAAGCTCAGCTCAAGAAGATAAAGCCAAATATTATAATAAAATGTGCAAAGATTTGTAATCAGAAAACCAGAAAAGAATAACACGCTCAGCATTTCTCAAGCTGGGGGAACTGAAGAAAAAATTCAAGCCTCAACTTTCGTTATTGAAAGATTCTCTGGGCAAATTATTGAATGATGCAGAATGCATCAAGGAATACACAGTCATTGTACCAAAAGGAAATGGTTAATGTTCAAACATTTCAAGAGGTACCATATGATCAAGAGCCAGTGATACTCAGGGAGGAAGTCCAAGGTGCATTGAAAGAATTGGCAAAGTACAAGGCACCAGGAATTGATGGAATAAAAATTGAAATCTTTCAAGAAAGTGAGGCGGCACAGGAGGCACTCACTCATCTCTGCCAAGAAATTTGGAAGGCAACTATCTGGCTGACTGATTGGAAGAGATCCATTTTGAGCCCATTCCAAAGAGATGTGACCCAATGGAATGCGGAAATCATCGGACAATCTCTTTGATATCTCAAGCGAGTAAAGTTTTGCTAAAGGTAATACAGAAACGGCTACAATCATACATTGACAGAGAACTTCCAGAGGTTCCAGCTGGATTCAGAAGAGGCCGTGGAATGAGAGATATCATTGCTGATGTCTGATGGATCTTGGCTGAAAGCAGAGAATATCAGAAAGATGTTTACCTGTACTTTATTGACTACACAAAGGCTTTCGACTGTGTGGATCATGACAAGCTATGGACAACATTGCGAAGTATGAGTATTCTAGAATACTTGAGTCATGAGGAATCTGTTCCTGGACCAAGAAGCAGTTGTTCGAACAGAACATGGGAACACTGAATGTTTTAAAATTAAGAAAGGTGTGCGACAAGGTTGTATTCTTTCACCATACTCATTCAACCTGTATGCTGAGCAAATAATATGAGAAGCTGAATTCTATGAAGAAAAACGTGGCATCAGGATTGGAGGAAGACATATTAACAACCTGCGATATGCAGGTGATACAACCTTGCTTGCTGAAAGTGAGGAGGACTTAAAACATCTCAATGTCAAGAAAACAAAAATCCTCATCACTGGACCAATAAACAATATTCTTATCAATGGAGAAAAGATTGTCAAGGACTTCATTCTTCTTGGATCAACTATCAACACTAATGGAAGAAGCAATCAAGAGATCAAACAATGTATTGCATTAGGCAAATCTGCTGTACAGGAACTTTTTAAAGTGTTGAAGAGCAAAGATGTCAGCTTGAGGACTAAGGTGTGCCCGACCCAACACATGGTATTTTCAATAATCTCCTATGCATGCGAAAGCTGAACAGTGAATAAGGAAGATCGTAGAAGAATTGATGCCTTTGAATTATGGTGTTAGAGGAGAATACTAAAAGTGCCATGGGCTGCCAAACGAATCAATAGATCTGTTTTGGAAGAAGTGTAGCCAGAGTGCTCCTTGGAGGCCAAGATGGCCAAACTTTGTCTCTCATACTTTGGACATGTTGTCAGGAGGGAACAGTTGCTAGAGAAGGATATAATGCTTGGTAAGGTGGAGGGTCAGAGAAAGAGGAAGACCTCCCAATAAGATGGATTGGCCAGGTGGCAGCATCGATGGACTCAAGTGTGGCAACAGTAGTGGGGTTGGCCCGGTATCGGACAATGTTTAGTTCTGTTGTGCATAGGGTCGCTATGAGTAGGTGCTGACTCAATGGCACCTAACAACGACAACAATTAAGCCCCTGACCAAGGAGCCCTGGTGGTATAGTGGGTTACACATTGTACTGCTAACCACAAGGTCAGCAGTTCTAATCTATCACAGGACAAAGATGAGACCTTCTGCTCCCATAAAGATTTATAGCTTCAGAAACTCTCTACAGGTTCGTTATGAGTCAGAACCAACTCAACAACATTTACCAACAGCAGCACGCCCCTGACTATACTTAAGGAAACAAAACCACACTGTGCTCCATTTTCAATATTTGATCATTCATTCCTTTATCCATCTGGGCATTCATTTCATTCATCCACCCGTTCACTCAACTAATACTTAATAGTGTCTATTTTGTGCTCAGCACTCACTTGGGGGCATTTAGAAAGCATTTTTCTTGAATAGTTAAGAACTCAGAACATTTCCTTCTATACCTTGGGGGAAAAATCGAGGCAAGTCCCCCTGCCTATGTGAGCTTGTTTAGTCCTATAAGGGACATCAATTCTACCTGTCCTGCTCACCCACAGGTTGTTCTGAACATCAAAGAAGGTGCTCAAGGTGAAAGTGCTTTGGAAGTATAATGCAGGGCAGAGATACTAATCATTGTTTGAATCCTCTACCTCAAACATTTAATCTGGAACTGTGTCCACATGAGACAGCCTTCTGTAGAAATCGCAATCAACAAATACATCTTTTAGAGCCTCCAGTGTATGATTATCACTGTGCTCAGTTGCTGCAGAGATACAGAGGCCAAGGAGACAGCTGGTTGTGTGGTGAGGGAGGATGCTGAGGAAGCACTGCATTATGATGCAGATGAAAGCTCTAACAGGTGGAGTCACAGTGCTGTCAGGTCACTTAGGCCAACTAGAAGATCAGAGCAGGCTTCCAGGAGTAAATGTCTTAAAGGATCCATGTTGACCAAACCTTCTGGCTTTACAATTATAGTTAGGTAGGAGGCACTTTGTGGAATCCCCATGGGTAGACTTCAAATAGTCTCCCTGACTCTCTGGTGTAGCTGAGATCCCTTCTTATTACCCCAGTGGCTGGTCCATGTTGCCAACTCCTGGGCCTAGCAGCTTCTCTAGTGCTTACACTATGTCTTTCCCTTCTCAGAATCCTCAAGGAGCAAGAAGACACAGTGAGGGAGGACACCATTCAGGTGGGCCGTCCTGCCAAGAAGAAATCCTGCTGTGGCTGATGGGAGGCATCCCAGGCATCTTGCTGCTGTTGGGGCCTGAAGCCCCAGGGCCCACCCGAACCCTGCACACGGGCTCTTGCACCGATACCACCCACCAAAGCCCACCATACCTCTGTCCTTGTCAGTGACTTTCACCCGCCAAAAGGAAGGGAAGCACATGGAATTAGGAAAACTGCTCTTGGGGCATCTCAGGGTCTTTTCTCTCTCTTCTTTCTCTAGATCCCAGATGTCCATTCCTTTTCTTCCAGATTGGTTTCCTGGGGGAAAGGAAACAGATGGGCACTTCTAGAACAGTCACTACGTGCCTGCTCCATCTTCCTTCTCCTCCCCTCGCCCCTTAGGAGCTGCAGCACTGCAGTTGCCATGGCAACTGTGCAGGTCTGACTTGCTGCTTCCTGCAGGCCAGAGGATGTACTGCCTGGGTGATGCTAGGGTACTCTGTCCTGCTTTGGCTCCTGTTGAAGCTTGGCTCCTGGAAGCCAATGGGTTTCCTTTGGTATATGTTTCATGGACCCTGTTGTTGAGTGAACGACAAAAGGGCACCCACATTCTATTCCACCACCATCACCACTACCATCCACCCTGGGTCCTTCTCCTTCCCAAAGTCACACCCTCTAGGGTCCAGCCCATCTACAGTCACCATTCCAATGCATTTGCCCCTCTCTCAGGTTCTATGGAATGGTGCCTTACAAAGAACCCACAGTCTGCCCTCCCCACCATCCCACCCACAACCCTGGCCCCACGGTGGGCTGTGATGTCAGTTTATTATGCCGGGGGTTAGGGAAGTAGGTTCACTTCCTACTTAATTTTGATGAAGAAATGAAAAGAAAACTAGGGAAAGAAAAACCATCTGCTGCTAAACAGAGAGACCATTTCTGGAGGGTATAAATAAGGTATATATAGCTCTATAAAAGCCATTTTCTAACTGTTTCTCAAAATAGCTCTGCTAAAAATCATACATGATGATTAACAGGGTAGATTGACATGCAAGCAGTGAGTCTCAACACCAAGTCCATAGTTACCGACTTCGTTCTATTTCATTTTCCTTTTTTCCAGAAAATGGTATTTAAGGTGGGGTGGGGGTGGGGGGATAATCTGGGCTGTGATGTTGCTTTCTTACTGGTGTTGAGAAGTAAACTGGGTGTCTAGCCATTGCTGGCGGTACCCCCGTGACTGCAACAGTACAGGGACCTTTGATTAAAGGAAACGTTCCTCAGCTGTGTTCTGTGTCTCAGGCCTTGAGGGTGTTCTGGCATTACTGGATGTCAGGGATTCTGGCAAGTTGGGCATCCTTGCCCTGGCAGGGTGGGAGGTTGGATGAAAAGCTCACTGCCCATTAAAATTCTAGGATTACAGATCCAGACCCCCACACAAAAATGGATAGTCCACACCCAAGTGGAGTTCCCGGGTGGTGCGAATGATTCAGTGTTCATCTACTAGCCAAAATGTTGTTGGTTTGAATCCACCCAGAGGCACCTGTTGTTGTTACCAAGTGCCATCCAATGGATTCCGACTCATAGTAACCTTGTATAGGGTTTTGGAGGAGCAGCTGGTGAGTTTGAAGTACTGACCTGCTGGCTCAAACTAACCTTTCTGTCCAGTGCTTTATCCCACAGTGCACACCGGTGTCTAGAAGGTGGCACACTGCTCCCCAGAGGTCACAGCCATGAAAACACTATGGAGGAGTTCTGCCCTGCATACATGGGGTTGAGTTGACAGCAACTAACAATATCCCCGCCACCCCAGCTAAGACAAGCAGGGAGAGAGAGGGACAGAACATACTTATATGTTTCCAAGAAGTTGGCTCAAAATGATTCCATACAGCCTACAGATAGGAGACACCACTAGGTAGTTTCCAAGAGTGTAGAGCCCCACAGTCTTCTCCATTAATTCCCCAAAGAGTCAGAGCCACCAGAGGTAGGTCACCAGGCAAGTGCCCACCTCCTTTCTGCAGACTTCTCTCTGCCATTCAGAGCTGACAGGGACCAGAGAGTCTGTGGAGGGCGTGGGATGAAACCCAGGACTGAGCCCCAGGATGTGCTCTATGATCTTTGGTAAGCTAGCTCTCTCCTTGGGTCACCATCTCATCAATAAAATGAGTGAGCTATTTGATGTTTTGGGTCCTTCCTGTTCTAAGTGCTTATAATGACATATTCCATTTCCATCCTAAGTGTTACCCAGTGCAAGGTTGACAGGAACTCACAACACACTAATTTCCCTAAGGGAGGACCATGGTGATGGTCTCATACATGGAATGTGTGGGGGTACTTGGACCATCTAGAAGAGACCTCTCAACATCTATGTGTGTGGTGTTATCATGTGTTGTTGTGTGTGTGTGGAGAGCAGTGTAGGAGGTAAACATTGGCAATTGGAATTTATGGGGCAAGTTGAACTAAACTTGAAGTTCCTTAAACCCACAGATTTCATCATCCCTCATACCTGGTGCCTCTTTGGGAACTATAGTCAATTTAGTTGACTGTAGTTAAGACTGAACTTAGAACGGTGGTGGGAAGGGCGACGTGGTGTCTGACTTTCTCGCAGGCAGGACAAATCTCTACAATGTCTCAAAGGTCCAGGCAGAGAGGGTTACAGGCAGGTCTTCCGGTCTCTACTATTTCCTCCTCCAAACTCACCTAAAAAAGTATAGAGGAACAGGACTTCAGAAAGATTTTGAAATGTTCTTTATCCCTAGGTCTTAGCCTCTTCCCTGCTATCCCTTTTTTTTAAGCAACTAAAGTGGCTTCAAGATCAAAGCTATTCCAGTAGCTGTTAGTCTGTCCCAGAGCAGACAGACCCTGGGCACAAGACAGCCAGACAAATCTGATTCTGTGACAAAAGAACTCTCCCTTTGTCTCTGTCACTAGAAGGCACTACTCCAAAGATCTTAAACCAGTTTCAGTTGTTGCTATAATGTCCTTCAGCAAGTCACTTCCTTTCCCTATTTGTATTTGTCTATTTTGCATTAATATTTTAAATATTCAATGGAACACTGTGGATAAAGTACTTAGCATGATGTCCAGCATGTAGTAGGTGTTATCAGCATCTAGTTGCTGCACATAACACCTGTTTTGTTTCATTTTCAGAGTTAGAAGCAATTAACATTTGTTAAGTCTTCTACCCACAACTGGGCACATTCACAAACACTGCCTCATTTCAGCACCTGGTTGCCCAGTCCATTTGCCTAGATCCAGAACTCTTACCTGGCTTTGCATTAGCATTACTGTCTTTTGTTGTTTGAGGTTTCTTGATCTCCTTTTCCACTCAGAATTTTGCTCAAACTCCCTGGTTTGCCTAGCAGGGCCAAGCCAAGCTGAGCTGAACCTGCCAGTGCCTACTATCTAATTTCAGCCCACAATCCACTCTCTCCCTTTCTCATTCTCCAGGACTCAGACAACAGCTTAGACCTGGTCCCAGCTCACCATTCTTAATCCCACACCTGCTCTCTATTCTAATTCCTTGTGCCTCTTATGGAATCTGCAGCTGCCCTCAGCTCTGAGCTGTCAAATCAGAAGCTCCATCACCAAACCAGTGCCTGGGGTGCCTTGCTATTTGTCTAGCATTGTTTCCTGTTAGTTTCTTTGGGGTCTTCTCTATTCCCCTGTGATACTCTAGCTGTCTTCTATTTTTCTCCATGTCCAGTATACTCCATGCTCAATAACCCCACCCAATCTTGAAATCACTTCCTCTCTACTCTCCCTCTGGGCCCATTCCAGGCCTTACCTGTGCCCTCTATCAAAACAATTCAATCTTTTGTCTCTAGAAGTCACTTCTCCAAAGATCTTAAACCAATTTTAGCTAAGGATGTTGACTCAAAGACCACACTTACACTTTGACAGAGAACGCTAAGGGAGGAAAAACTTTAAATCAAAGGAATAATTCTCTAGTGATGGAATATTAAGTCATGGAGTCAAATATTTCAGGATAGAGTTCTGTCTTGGCTCCTTTCTGTTTTGGATTCCAAGCCTTTTTTGCAGGCGACCTTCGCCCTAGCCGCCAGCGATTCCTGCTTCTGATCCTCATTTAGCTTTTGATTTTTACCCAACCTCAGTTGGTTGGTGGTTGCATAGCCTCTTTTTGTTTTTATAAAGACACTTTGTCTCCCTATATCACACAAGAAAAGTCAGTAACCACAGCTAAAAAGTCAAGCTGTAATCACACCTTATAAAATACCAAACCCAAGCAAGAACCAATACCAGAAGACATACACCAGGGAAACAAGCAATACCTGTGAAAGTCACACAGAGTTAAGCAATAAGAAGGGGGAAAATAGAAGACCACACCCTGATCACCTCTCACAGTAAACAATCACTAAGCATAAAAAAGTACCAAAATACAAAATCACTTAAGGGTTAGGCCCACAGGTAAACAGTAAACATGCACAAGAAGCAAAAACAGATGACCATATCAGCACATGTCCAGAAAAAGATAAAATACCTGAGACAAATGATCCAGAAGCAGACCTGGAAACCATAATGGATGGAGGGCATGCCCTGGAAATACCTGAGAAAGAATTCAGAATCATCATAAAATGTTTCAAAACACTTTACAATGGAGTTGAGAAACAAGAAAGAAGCCAGGAAAGTGCAACAGGAACAATCAAATAAAATAGCAACAGCATTGGAAACAATTCAAAACCTGCAGAAAGAGAACCAAACAATTAATAACAAAGTGGCAGAAATAGAAAACACTCAGGAAGGACTAAGGAATAGAATAGACGAGATGGAAGGAAGAATCAGCGAGCTGGAAGACAGGTCTTTCAATACATATAAGATAGAAAAACAAACACAAAAAAGGATAAAAAATTCTGAAGATGATATAAGATTTATGCTGGACAACATGAAGAGGAATAACTTAAGAATTTCCAACATCCTAAAAAGTGAAAACATTAACGTACAAGAAGCGCAACGGACTCCAAGAAGGATAGACCTCAAAAGAAAATCACCAAGACATATCATAGTCAAGCTTTCCAAACTCAAAGACAAGGAGACGCTTCTGAAAGC